TTTGTTGCAATTGGATCATATGACTCCGAGTTTTTTTTTTTTAATAATGCTTTATTTTAAATTTATTCCAAATATATATCAACCTCAAACTATTTTCAAGAACAATGCTTAAGACGACCTATGCTCGCAATTTTGTGGTGGCACGTCTGCTTTTTAATCCAGAGAATCTAGAGGTCCTTGATTTAAATCTTTATAAATCTTTATATTTGGAATAAGTTTAAAATAAAGTATTATTAAAAAAATCACGTGACTCCGGGCCAAAACGCCAATTGGTAAATTCATCCCTACATGCTTGTCATTATATGACCTATTAATAGGACAATTTATTCGTGTTTTAAAATTACTCATTTATTCTTCATTTAAGTTGTAAATAAAGTGGATAAATTTAAAGAACCTTTTGCTGGCGTATAAACCAGGATGGATATAAAAGTGACAGCTTAGAAAGTATTTTTCGCTATGATTTCTACTTAAATTTTGAATTTCAACAAAATTATATGGTTTTGATTAAATGCTCATTCTAACCATAAAGGTTAAAGGAAAAAAAATGATTGGGTTGCAAAATTGGAAAATAATGATACTTTTCAATAATTTATAATTTGGGTATTATTAAAAAATCATTTGATTGGATATGATTTGGGCTGTTTTAAGAAAAAAAAGATCATGCAACTAATAAATGTCAATTTTGAATAAATCTAAAAGCAGCCTCATTGGACTTTGAAAATGAATTTTTCTTTTCCGCATATAAATGTTTATCTGAGCACATTAGTTTATCGGGTCCAGTTATTTGACTTGAGCTTCTAGAGTGTCTAGAATGTCCAAATTATGAGTAAAAAATTTCTATATAAATCATTGAAATACCTCCTACCTACCATCATAGAGTTTTTAAAACTCTTTTCAGACTATATCCAGAGGTATCATTTCATTATTTTGTTATTTTGGGATCAACTTTAATTAACACCCAATTTGACCTTGACAAAAGATGAACATAATCACACCAATTCTAAAATAGAAAATTTACATACAAACTAATTTTTTATTTGCAAAAACAGTATCACAATCTAGACACTGTCTTGAAGAAAGACAGGACGAAATAGATGTCTATAAGAAAGTAGACCATTCCATCTAAAGAGAGATTCTATGAACTTTTACAAACCATGAGTTAATTTGAGATTTCTTTGAGGTGTGAAGAAGAAGAAATCGATGGTAGAAGAAGTTAATCTTCACCACAACTATGAAAGCAAAAATTAGAACTGATAGCAAAGTCTTGTAAAGTATGATCAGAAATATTGTCAAGAAATGAAGGAAGGAAAGACAAAACATCATATACAAATTTGAAAGAGAACACAAGCATACCATTTTGCAGTCTCTACAATATTTTATTGGTGGAAGAACTCTTGAAATACTTAAAAATCTAATATGGCTATGATGTTCTATATAATAAAAAATTCTACCTCCACTTTGATCCAAATTTAAAGACGGTTGTCTTCTTTGTTAGTACAACATGCGAAATGAGAATTACATAATATTTAACAATAAAAATCACTGACATATTTAATATCTTAATTAGGCCACTAAAGAAGATATAGGAAAAATTCAAGTACTATGAGAGTACCATACTCTCTTTGTTCGCATTATGATTTTGTCTCCATAAATAATTTTTTAATGTTTGTGGACCATACATCATCTTTAATACGATGTTGGTGCAGGCAATGAACTAAATGAGTATCCATACTCTTGTACTATCAGAAATTTTCCAAGCGAGATATTGAGATGAAGACAAATTGATTGGACGTTAGAGCCAAAGAGGCCCTTTCCCCACCACTACCCCAACCCAAGAGTTGTTAACCTGAGGTACTTCTTTTCACCATTATGTTTATACCTACCAATTGAGGTAATGTTTCCTTAAATTTTAGGGGCCAACTCTTAAGGACCTCTCAGAGTTAGGGGCCTTTGCCACGCAGCCCCTCCATTAGGTACTTGTCATTCCTTTAGTTCTAAATCCAAATAGAAATCAGATTCCTGAACTACTTGTTGTTCCTAGAACAGTAGTTTTTTTTATTGGAAAAACAGGTTGTTAAGTACCACATGGCCACGTTCTTTTGCTTGGGGCATCCAACTCTCAAATCTTATCCATCTCGAATGGTTCTCAGATGCAAAATAAGCATAATAGTTTCCCCTTTTTTCCTGTCAATACTACATTGGTATACTCGCAAGAACCACACACATGGAGAGGAGATGGGTAGGAGGAATCTGCCCAACATAGTGATCAGAATTATGTATCTTTTACATGATATGATTTGACGTTTATACCCGAGAGTTCTCAGTCCACCACCGAATAGAAAATTAAAAATATCACACTACTGGGCTTTCAAAAAAGAGTTGATCTCCATTAACTCTTGAAGTTATAAGCTAAAAGCCATGCCCAATCACTCAGGGAAATGTTATACTAACAGAGAAAATATATCCATTGGAGAAGGTTTGGAACTCAGATTTTCTACAGTATTCATATCTCAATCATACAAAAAAGTTCAACACTCGCAGAATCATATCAGCTAGCAAAATCTGGTAGAACCAGTATCAGATTCGAAACTACTATTCAACGAATTCTGCGGGAGAAGGAATAACAGGCAAAAGAAAATTTCCAAATGGGGAATCAAGGATCTTAAAATTACCAGTGCAACCATCTTGTTTGGCCTGTGCCACAGCAAAACTCTTAGCCTGTTGAATCCTGAATTCACTTCCAGTAGCAACAGGAAACTGTGCGAATCCAAAATTTTCATAAGAAATCTTATGTCTGATAAATAACCATGGCAGTTTATAAGGAAAGCAAAACCAAGGAAAAGATATCCTCACAGTCGAGCCTTTCGTTGATGCTGAAACTCTCTCTCTCTCTACAGCAGCTGAAGATAAAGTTCTGCAATCGACAGGTTTTTCGAATAAACTTAACTCAAAATTAAAGCAGCGAATACAAAAGTCCGCTGTTGTTTTGATCTTTCCTTTCATAGTTGAAAAGGTCAATTACGAAGGTACGATTCAATCCAGAATTCCAGATTATTATCCATTATCCAAAAATAGAAAATCAAAACTACGTACTATTAAAATCTCTTGATCGAGAATTTCATTCAATCCTCCAAACTCAATACAAATTCCTGCAATTGCCAACGAAACCATCGGCAGTAACTAACATCTACGTCGTAGTCTCAAACTTTTAGATTTTTAACCCTCACATCCGTAGTGCTTCATCAAGAACAACTCATGGCAAAGAAAAATAAACTGAAAAGTTTCGTTTAGCGAACAGAAAAGACAGTATGCATTTATCCGACGGCGGTGGCCGTAGAGGAGAGGCAAGAATTACCGGCGAGACGGTGTTTGATCGGTTTTCCGCCGCTTGCTCTGAGACGACGGCGCCATAATTTCCCGGTCGTTTCCCGGCTTCGAAACTTTCCGTTCCATTTCCAAAGAAGCCCAGTGGATCAGGGCTGTGGCAAAGTTTTAACGAACGAATAAAAGAAGATTAGTCTGAGCTAGGCCCATTTCTCTAACCCTTTAGATAATAGTATTGGACTTTACTATATTTCGGCCCAAACAGATCTCTAGGTAAGTTATGGGCTTTCAGCCCTAGGCAAAGTTTAGAAAACAGTTATGGACTATTTCGGCCCATCCAAGCCCATTTCTGAAAATTATTCTGCGGCGAAGTTAGAGAACAGTTATGGGCTCTATTTCAGCCCAAATAAACATCTAGGCCTGCTAGAAGATTAGTTAATCAATAGTTTTATTTTTTATATATTCAAAAACTTACATTAAGCTATAGTAAGTATTGAGATCTCTTGTACAAGAAATAAATCTCAAGTTTCGTAATTAATACTTATAAAATTATTAGACAGATATATAAAATATAAATGAAGCCACAATGTAGAGAACACAAGAGTTACTTTCTTTATTAGTTGATATAGTGAGTATATATACACATATATTTTAGAATATTACAATTCTTCAAATAAGGAGGAAAATTCAAATATATAAGAATAAGGGATTTTTCTCCTTTTGTTTCACATATACACATTGGAAGTTATTAATGTCTAAATTAGCTAAATTATGTTCAAGTAGCATATCTGCATTTTTTTTTACTTAGTTTATTTATAAATTTTTTGGGTGGGTATGATTTTTTTTTTTCAAAGTGAATTTTAAAAATAACAATGATTTTTTTTCTTACTCCAACAAGAGATTCAAACATCATGAGGATCCCAACAAAAAATCCTAGAGATTTTTGTGGCCAACCCCACATGGGATTTGCCTCATTCAAAATAAAACATTTTCAAAGGCATATACCATTAAAATATATTAAATTAGTATCACTTTTGAGGATTTTAGCAATGATTATTTTTCAACTGACCCACCACTTAATTTTCCCCCCTATGATCTCTCTTTAATTTCAAAGAAATGAAATTACAGTATGCAAATTAATTAATGAGATTTGGCCATGGAAAAAAAAACTAAATCTTTAAGAAAGTAAAATGAAATGGAGTACCACATCAATTGTCACTCAATATTAGATAATTTTTTTTTGTTTCTCAAAATTAATTATATATATAATAATAATAAAACGAAGAATAAAATTACTAGATTCTCAAATTTTTTCAAATTTAACTATTTTATCTCGAAATAAAGAATGTGTTAAAATTATGAAAAATTTAAAAAGTATTACATGCACATGACAAAACATCCATTGAGGTAACATAAAGTAAGTGAAGCTTACATTTATAATTTCACTATCATTAACATTGTTAATGGTGTGGGACTCAAGCCTCAAGGTGGTCAATGGTGACTCGATCATTTTCTCATTGAAATTTGGTAACCAAAAAGAGTAACAAGGCCTCAAAACTTTCTTTGAAAGTCAATGAATAGAAACCCATTTACTTTTTTGTATATTTAGATTGAAAATATTGGTAGCTTGTTAATATACATAAATTGGTCGAAAATTTTTATATATATAAAAAAAAAAGCAACAACGATAAGAAAATTATAAAAAAAAAATAAAAAAGAATGAGTTCAAATTCCCATAATACCCACAAGGTATTGACCCGATTGGTTCCGTTATTATAAACATTTCCTACCAATGTATATACTTTATTGGTCTATAGTCTATCAACTATGAACACAAACTTCAATTTTTCTCACATAATACTTTCAAGTTTTTGCGTCGGTATAAAAATTTAGGTCAAGCAATTAATTGTCGAGCGCGTTTTCGACTTGTTTAAGCTAAGGGATGCACACATACTAGGGTTTCTCTTTTGTCTTTATAAGAGAGAATTTCCCCCTCCAAACATTGTGGGTGTACGAAAAGTTGACCCAATAAAATCAAATGAATGTCCATTTCCTAATCGCTCAATAAATTGGCTTGTGGGGAATTATATTGAACAACAGAATTACCCTATTCCCTATTTTGTCAACTTAAGATAAGGTTTTATATTTAGTCAAGTGGTGATAATGGGTGTTTTTTTTTTCTCCTTTTTGACTTTTCTCCCCCTTCAATTTTACCTCTCTTTAGTATTTGACCCATTTTAATTTTTTAAAAAAGGTACAACACCGAATTTTGATTTATTAATCATGCATTGAAATCATTATATTCAAAAAAAAAAACCGACGACTTTTTATTGAATTCATTAGGGTTGGCCTTAATGGGCATGTAAAAAATTAAACCACAAATGATTGTGGGTCAACAAGTCTTTGAGGAACTATGATAAAATAGAATGTGGGTGTATGTGTGCAATCTTCTATTTCTATTGGAAAATCTATTTTCCATTATGTGTATGTTAATAGGATCTTTTTGGTTATTACTCTCCTAATTAATCTTCTTAATAGCAACTTACAGTGGAGATCTGTGTAGATATTTAGAGGTCATTCCACAATTAATAATTGTTTTAAAAATGTATTTGATAATTGTTTTTTTTGTGTTAATTAACTTTAAGAAAATAGAAAATTAAGAATAAAAACATATGAAATATAGCTCAACTAACTGATAAAACATATATCATTGACCARAAGTCAAAGATTATAATGAATTGAGAAATTAAATTAGAAAATTGCTAAATATAATGGGCCATTATGCTTTCATTTGTTTAAAACTTCCTTTTACATATTTTAAAAGAATGATCAATTTTCAAACATATATCTAATTGCGTCACTTAATCAAATGAGCGAGGTGGGATTATTCTTTTATGGAATTTGTTGCTTTTGGGTCTATTATTGAGTAAATTGTTGGAGCCCAAAGTAATAATTAGTATTGGATCAATATTCTTTTTTACTTACATGTGCATAAGAGTAACTTTGGGGCACAATTAATTATTGCTTAATTATCATGTTTTTATTGGAAAGTAGATGTGAAACATTATGATTATATCCTATCAAGATTGAATAATCCAAAGTGTGTGTAGGAGACCACTTCTCAAAGAGAAGTCCATCTCATATGAATTTTTTTTTTAATTTCGATTTTTTTAACAATAATTATTGCAAACAAATGTACCGTGTCAAAACTTTAATTAAAAATGAGAAAAAAAGATTGTTAGGCATATGACTTTTGAATTAATCTTGAATAATTATTCAATATTTTAGGGCTCAGCTCGTTGGATAACACTTTTATATATTTTGTTTCTCGTTTATATTTCCTCTTTTTAAATAAAGAAAAGTAGAAAGGTACTCGATAACTATTTCTTATTTATTGCTCATCTTCTTTGAACCTTTAAATTTTATATGAAAATTAAAATTTTTAAATTAAATATTCAAAATTTTTACGTTAGATTTTGTTTTTAAATATTATTTATATGCATTTACTAAGTCAAGAATGATGGAAAAATATATTTTATTTGTGTTTTAGAAAACAAAAATAATAATAATAATAATGAGAGAAAGAGAAACTTATTTTTCACGTTTCAAAATTTCTATACAATTTTAGAAACATTTCTAAATAATGAAAAATAAAAACTAGAACCAATTATCAAAACACTTATATATATTTTTCAAAAATTGAAAACCAGAGACGAGGTAACCTTGAAATGGATGTCTGAATTATATTGTTATTGAGATATCTAATTCATGACAACCACATATCTTAATTATAAGAGGATATTGAAACCATAACATAAAGGCTCTATTTATAATAGGTCAAATATCATAATTCGAAAATAATATTGTAATCTTTATAACACAACAATATCCTACCCGGTAGGAATTTGTAATAGTATTGAAAAATTATTTTCTTCACAGATATGGTTTTCTGTTTTGGCTCCATAATCCCAACAGTTATTGAGATATCTAATTCATGACAAGCTCATCTAACTAAATTGTAATCATAAACCATCACCTAACTAATTAATGACAAGAACATAAAATTCGGGTTCTTTTTCTTCAAGAGACAATCAAATCATGAAACTTCTTGGAAGCTTTAGGTTCATGCTTATACGTACGTACATCATCCTCTTAAAAGGTCCACGTTGATGATAAAATACCATGGAATTTAAACATTTCATCTCAAATTCAAATACTCAGTCATCATGCTATCAAGGGGAAGCAGTACTGAATAATGTTATGCATCTTAAATGGCAAGGAGTCCAATTATAGCCAAAAACATTATTATTTGTCACGCTTTAACTCGAGTATTGAAATAGAAAATATGCAGAACAGAAAGGATCACGCATCGCAAGGTTAAACACTCTTAACTTTTAACTGACCATATTGGAGTAGTAGAATAAGTCAATGAGTGAAATCACGTACATCAATAACCATCTTGCAAGGATAAATACTTTTAGATGAGGTGAAAAGAATCGGGTAACTTAAAACTTAAATCATTTATGGATCACATCTAATTACCAGCTAGGTTTTGAAACATGAAAAAGAAAAAGAAAAAGAATCCCATAAAACAACAGAGAACAATTTGAATTTGGTGACATAAACCTAAAGTTTGTAAAGCTATTATAAATAATTAAACACATTTTTCAAAGCAGATTCCCATTAAGAACAACACAGCACAGATTTAATTTGTTCATGGCAGAGATTCATCCCTTTTTAAAGTTAGATATATAGAGAATCCAGCAAAAAAAGAAGGGCCAAATTAAAATTAATAAAACTCAATAACCTGACTGGTCTATTTTTATTGTTTAATTTGGTTTTTTTGAAGAGAATGTGTGTCATCGCACATCCATGTGCGGAGATCTGCGCCCCACGTGCGATATGGCCATCTTCCAATATTGCCCCTAGTGGCCTCACCAGCAACAACTGCAACAGCATGCAACAGCAACTCACTGTTTCAATATATTTTCTCTTAACTTCAAACTTTGACAGTTTTGGAAAGCCATGCAGAAAACAGAAAAAGAAAAAGAAAAAGATTGAAGTGGCAGCTGAAGAAAAAGTTTAAAAAAGATTCGCAAGAGATGGAGATATTATTATTCAAAGACAACGTTTGGTTGGTGATCCCACGAAAATATAAATCTGGAAATAATTCATTCTAGCTAAAACTTTAATTACCAACTAAATATTTAGTTCAATTTAAAATAGTATTAAATAAGATAAATTGGGGTGGGTAGTAAAAATCTTTTTTATATTTCAAAATATATCACTTGTTTTTTAAAATTTTTAAATATAACACAATTTTTCACTTATTATATCAGTCGTATATCATATGTATATCACATACATATTATAAGTATATTAGTAGTATATCATACGTATATTACATACATATATCAATAGTCAGATGTAATACAAATATATTACCAGATATATTACAGATATACATTATTTGGGTAAAGTTATCATTTT